AGGAAAACTCTGCCTAACACAAAAAACTTTGGTAAGGATGTGGAGCTCTAAAGATCAACTTGAATCATCAGGGGATATTCATGCACAGAATTAAATAATTTCCTATAGTTTATATATTCAACTTACTCTTTTTATGTTGTCAGTTTAACCTTGGACGTGTTTTTTAAAGTTACTATATTCTGTTTTTATTTTTTTACATGGGAGTTGTTTTTTTCTTCTCTGTATTCCTATTGAGTAGATATTCTAAATCGGGTTCCCCGTTGCACCACTCTGATTAGTACACTCATGATTAGCTGCATCATTCCAAATCACGTAAACTCCATGTTTCTGCTCTCGTAATGACGAGGGGCACGGGAGGAGTTGAGACCGAGAGAGCACGCGGCACGTGAATGCTTTTGCACAGAACACTTTTAAAGTTTTTTATTTAAAATGGTCCTGAATCATGTATGATTTTCTCTCTGCTTCCCAAATGTACGCCACTGTTTGTTGGTTTGTCACATTAAATTCCAATGAAATGTTTATGGTTGTCATGTGACAAAATATTCAAGGCGTGTGAATACTTTTGCAAGCCTCTGTATTTCCTCTGATGTTTTTGTTAGATTTCATCAGGCGAGTCTTAACATCAGACAAAGATAACCTTTTTTTTGTTTAAATTATGATTGTAATTGTTGATTTTACAAAACGCTATCTATACTGACTTGGTCTTATGTGAAAAAAATATATAATCGGTTGTCCCACACTTGGCAGCAACAGCTGCTATAATAATTGGCAATCAGGCTTTTATATTTGCATTGGCTCATATTCTTCTTTGGAGGATTGTTTTAATTCAACCAATTTGGAGGGTTCACAAACATTAACAGCCGGTTTACAGTCGTGTTCCAGCATCTCAATCAATTCTGTCCAGACTCTGTCTGGGCCATTATAAAACCTTCATTTATTATAGCCGGCCGTTAAAGCAGCACGGTGGACTTGCTCCTGTGCTGGATGTCTCTCCTGTATAATCCAAGTGCCCTTTAGCTGAAGGTCACACAGTGATGGCCGGACATCCTTCTTTAGGTTTTTCCCAAAGGAAAACAGAATTCATGGATCCATCAGTTAGCAAAATCGCCCAGGTTCCCGAAGCAGCGAAGCCGGCACAGATCACATTACAATCGCAACGTGCTTTTTCTTAAAGGCCGCATTAGTTTGATGTAGAACGTAAGAGGACGCACGCCATCCAAAAAGTTTTGCAGGCATTCAAAATTCCTTCAATAAAGTGCATCGACGATCTGTTCTGGCAGCCCAAATTTGCACCAGTCTTAAATTGCGGTTGAATTGCAGATCTCACAAATTCAACCCAAAGTCCTCTCTTTTGGACAGCACTGCTCTAAATCAACTAGGTCCACATTGAATTCAGGGCTGGATTAACCAAATTACCCAAATTGGATTGTTATTAATCGTATTAATCCAAAATAATAAGATTAATAAAGTTAAAGTTAAAGTTATTCAGGGCATAAACATATTTCTCATATTCTTTCAGCTGAGCATCATGTAGGGAAATTATTTGTTAGAAAAGAAAAAACACTCAAAGCACAGTAACATGAATAATCATTGAAAGTGGTGGTATTGTGTGTTTTCCATGCTTTTATAGCACAATTAAGTAACTATGCGGCCTTTAGTTGTTGTAAAAATGCTGCATCAAATGTAACTTTGACATCGTATTTTGATGCCCTGAAATTGGCCCCTGTCTCTTTAAGAAGCTCCTGCTCTCACCGACATTTCGTCTTCTGCACGTCATCACAACAGTGCTCCTTTATTTTAACATTGGCAACCATTCATAGGAGCATTAGATGGAGAGGAAGTTCATATAAGTCTTGCAGTTTCACCAGGTGTCTGCCAATTGCTGCTGCCGCTAGTCTGGAGGAGCTGAGTGGAAAGAGACGCTTTGCAAGATCAGGCATTTAGGCATCACCAAATGGCCTCCACAGGCAATTCAAGGATTCCTCAAACATGCATGAAAGAATCAAAGCAACACTCCAGGTTTGTTTTCGATGAGGGAATAACTTCATAACATGTCATAAAGCTCAAAAAATCTATGTAGCGCTCCCACCAACACTTTTATTTAATAGTAAGCGATGTTGTGAAATGCACCTATTGCAGCTAGCAGCAGTAGTAAATCCATAAATCCTAATCCATCACATTAGTCTCAGCCATTAAAAATATTTCCACACTTGACAATGGGACAACTTATACGTACTTTTTCTTTGTTTTTTTTTTCCTCCACTTCCCCGTGTTGTGTGGCTTCAAGGTCGACATGATCTAGCGAGACGCGGGCTAGGCACAACTCTCGCAGAGTGAAAACCCAATTACCGTCGCAACACATCTGTTCCCAGAAAGGCATTAGGGTAACAGCGTGGTCTTTCCCAACTGGAGAGCATGGTTTCAGTCACAGAGACACACGCTACCTAAAAATGTGTCCTGGGTACACCTAGCCTTGATAGCTTCATAACACATCCGAGTGCAGAGCAGAAAGAAACCATTTAAATGTATTTTTCTCTCCTCACACAATCAAAAATTAATTTCCTGTTGCGAATCAAGAGGCAACTGTGTGCTAAAAGAGGGGAAATAAAAACGTGCTTGAGCATTGTTGAACACACTGGGATAATTTTTTTTTCTTTTTTCAATGATAATTATCAAGTAATTGTTAATAACAATAACAAAAACAAACAAAAAAAAACAAATCCAAGAAAAGAGAATTAACTTAAAAAGGACTTGTGAAACAAGTGGCATCCAAAACGCCTCATTTGTTCTCAGCATCCGAGGCTGTTTTCAAGTACGTTCGGGTCAGTTTGCCAGAAGATTGCCTTTCGGTGCCGTTTAAGGGACAAACGTGCTGAGTGGATCTGAACGCAATTCTGGGCCGGATCTGAGGCCGGTGTTGATATCTGGAGGCAAATGGCCTACTTTGTATTCGGGTCAGGCGTTGCAGTCATGGCTACAACGGCTAAAGAGGTCCCTGATGATGGAGTTAATTCCCACTCCTTCACTCCACTGCTGAGAAATCAGCTAATTCCCCATCGCCACGGTCACTTACGTTACTATCTCTGCACAAGTAGGGCCGAATATTAATCCACAGATAAAGCCTGAGGAGTAATGAAGACAACAGACCAGGTAGCAATATTCATTAGTCATTGCATCTCTTTATAAGACGATGACTTCCAGAGTCGTTAGTCTCCAATATTACGTCTATAACTGCAACCAGCCATCATCATTCACCTAAAAGCAAAGGTAATTCAAGGTCCCTTTGTTCATTAGGTTTGCAAAACATGTGCAGAAGCAGAGTCACGTGTGGAGCAACGAGATCTGAAACTCTAGTCTTATATGTTATTTGTCAAAAAAAAAAAGAAAATTGTCGAGTTTGACCAGTAATCTAAGGGTCTCCCCAGGATGACCTCTGTTTCTTCCAGATTATCAGACAGGTCAATGTAAAAGTTTTGGACACAAACATGATGGTGGCGTAAGAAGCAGAGACAACAATGGACACAACCAGAGGGGTTCATCAGTGAGCGAGCTCTCCTTCAGAGGATCTGACTGCTTTCTAATTAAAACTGAAGCACATTTCTCACAAATCACTTTCAAATGAGTTCATGATAATGCATGTAAATTAGGAAGGATGATTATTTTTTTCATATAGACAGACAGGAGGGACGTCAACAATATCAAGACTTGGATCTAATTAGTAGTCAGTCGCCATTAACTCTGTTTCTAAGTATTTAGTTTGAATCAGACAGATATTATTTCCACTATTTGATGTTAAACAAAAACGAAAAATCTGACTGTGAACCATTAAGCTGTTGATTCACTGGTCTAACACGCTACAAGGAAGATAAAATATTTCCAGATATTTGATCTAAACACGAGAATAGTCACAAAAAATAAGTTGTACCGTTTCTCCTAGCCAACTAGGAATGAAAAATCAATCCTCTGACAGTCTAGAGGGATAAAGTTCGAAACTTATTCCATAGGTGTGGGGCTGTTAGGAGGCGGTGTAAGTTTCTCACATCCCTGGTAGTGGTTTGCACTGTCAAAACATATTTATTCCAATGTATTTATTTGTTTCTGAAAACTTTATGTAAAGAAAAACTGAGATTTGGAACTTTAGGTTTCACATTTGTTATCATTAGATGTTTATTTGTACAGATTTTATATCATTAACAACAACAAAAGAATTTGTACATAATTGTCTATTTTTTGTGTGAATACACTGTTTTAAACCATTGCCTCTTGCAGTCTTAAGACATGGAGTCCCCTGTTCACTTTTACAAGGTTTTTTTTTTGTGTGTGTGGTTTCGGGAACTGACGGTCTGACAGAACAAACCCCCCATCTTCACAAAATGCTTTTGAACTTGTATTTTGGTGACGACTTTGTACTCTTATCCAAGTAGTATTATTTTGAATTAAACATGCTCTTACATTTGTAGAGTTCCTGGCTACTCTGCCCACCTCTGGTAGCATGAGATTACATACTGCCGAATCATTTGCAATATTTATATATCCATGAATTCTGTAGCAATGGAGCAGATAGAGGGGTGTCATGAACCGTGCCCTAAAGTCACAGCGATAGTATCAGAGTTTTCCCGTTATGTTCAAAACGAATTTTGCAGCAGCCTGGGTTCACTGGAGAGCCAATTCAAGTAGAATATCTTAATTTCTCCATTGAAACAAAAAACAAATTCACAACACTGTTTTTTCTGATAATCCCTGCATGATTGATTGTATGTAAAAGAGAAAATAAATGAAAGCTTACATTGATGTACTTCTTTTTTTATCAGCTGTATCACCATATCATTAAGAATCTATCATCACTCAATTGTAACAAATTTATCCTGCGCATCAACACATTAACTCAGCTCATCAGAACAGAAGCAGTTCAGATGATATCCTGGGGTATAGTTTGTGTTGTAAACAATAATATTCAAAATAAACACAGCAGTGACAACTTTTTATTAGGAAAATTAGAAATTAAATTGACTTTCCTCCAGTGTTTTCTTATCACACTAAGCAGCAATTCAAGTGTAACAGCTATTCCAGCATTAAAGATTATGAAAATCCAACATTTCAAGTCTCAAATTATGTGAAGGGAAAATTCACTGACATAGCAGGACAAGCAGATATTAGATTAAATTGGTAGCTACGTTTAAGGTCATGAGGAGAAAAAAAAAAGTAAATGAAATAAGTACCATGTAAGGAAGCAAAACATATATACAAAACAAAAAGAATCACGTAAAAACCTGAGATGAGGTCTCTACAATGCAGTTATACAAAAAACAAACAAAATAAAAAAAACATCAGAAAAAAATTAATAATGATGATATGAAAGTAATACATCTGGACAGTCTAAGTCTGTCTATAATTATAGTGGTTGTCAAAGTACCGGTCAACTTTTAATCCACTCATGGTTCTGTTCTGAGTCAGCAATTCTACAGAACCATTTGATATGTTCATTTATAGCAGGTACATTATTAAAAATTAGTACACAATTAAGCTGCCTAAATTCAGCATCATCATCATTACAGCAAAACATGACATGGACATTTCTGCCCCTAACTTAATCCACTTAGTTACAAATGCATAAAAAATATCTGATATGTAACAGAAAATCATCTCACATAATCAATACTGAATGAAGTGGTATAATCTACACACAAAACTTGTCAATACTTTTAAAACTTTTGTCTCAGTAAGTTATTTTTTTTTATCTAGAACATAAAAAAGTACATAAATTCAAAATAGTTATTTATTTTAAGATGACTAATAACTCCAGTGTTATTACATCAATTATATCATAATTTCTAGTTTTGGAGAAAAAAAAAAAACCTTTCTCAAAGGGCAAGTATCATTATTCCATTGTTCTTTTTTAATGTCTTTTTATGATATGATTTGTTTATCAAATGAACAAATCATATCAACCTTACCACATGTAGCAATAGCGTGAAGTCTCCTTTAAGAGCTAAACATTTTATGTAAAAGAAACTAATATCAGACAGGCTTAATGAGTTTAAGTCATATGATTGATGATGACCTTGAAATAACGTTTCGACATCAGCATCACTTTACTTCAGTTACATGCTGACAAATACAGCAGGAACTGATTATGTGGAGAAAAGGGGCACTTTCTGCTGCTTCCATTCACTTCCACTGCACAATTCACTAATGCAAGAGCCTGTCCAAGTAAAGCTGGTGGCATCTAAATAAATGAAGCAAAAACTTACTGCATATCACATTACGCATCTGCTCTGCCACCACAGAAGGCGGCCTCACCCACCGTATGTATTCTGAATATTTCGTAAATACTTTTTAATTTTGAAAAAAAAAAGAAAAAAAAAAACAAACAAAAAAAAAAAAAAGCCAGGTTAGATAGGATGGGAATGAAAATTGTTTCAAATGTTCTATTTGTTTACACTGCGTTTCCTCTCGTCAGTCAGATAAGTTAAACAGAATCTGTCGATCGTTTGAAAAGAAAAATTGGTTTCTGAATTTAATATTGTTTCTGAATCGAATCAGGTCCCTAAAATTCAGGATTGCTAGACAATAGAAGATTTGCATTTCTACTTTTAAATGCTTGGATAGGTTGCTTGTCTACTAGGTCTCCAAGCCATGGCTTTAATGTAACACATTTGACTTTGTTCTCTTAACTTGAAAAATAGTTATATCATTCCTTACTTTATGAATTTATATCAAAGCTTAAGAGTTCGCCATCAATACTTTTATCTGAGAAGTCCTTTGTTATATGCATCAATGCCCGAGTTTAACATTTTGAACACAACGTTGCCCCATACATATTTTGTCTCGAGTTGGATGATGAAAATTTTAACAGCCATTCAGAGCTTTAACCTAAACATAGAAGTTGTACAAAATATGACACGTGCCCTTAGAAAAAGATCTGTTCACCCTCTCACATGATAAGAGCAAGTGTTCATCTGCCAAAACAGATTATGTGGAAAGGCAAAAATCCCTTGTGATTATGAAAATGAACTAAATTTGCCTTTATGCCTAACAATACCATAGAAACTGACTTGATCGTTAAAATAAAACTACAGCTGTTAATAAAATGTAGCAAAACTGTGGCCAGTCCACCCACAGTTATAGCTACAATTGTAGTGCCTTGTGATTAAATGAGGTTGAGATGAGTTTTGGAGGTTGGAGCACAAAGGAGCATCAGTAGTGGCAGCTCATGCCCTGAAACTCCAGCTTCTCTGAAAAGGCTGGAATGGTTTCTTGAGGTTGAAAAGCACGAGGTGAGGTTTGAGCCGTGGGGCTTTCTCAGGAATGACAGCAGCTTTACTTTCCTCAGTGGGAAATCGTTTTTGGTACACCTCTGGGTAAGACTTCTGGAACTGAAAGGGGAAGAAATGTAATTTGTTATCAAGTAGAATGTCAAAGAACCCTTGTAAATCACACCTCTAGAGTCTCGGCAGAATTTTGGTTGTTAGTCGTAGTTGTTAATGACTTAACACGTCAGACTGAAACAGAAATTCAAAGACAGGGCTTTCCTTTTCAGAGAATACATTTTGCCTGGAAAAGAACAGAAACACTACTTCCCATCGGAAACTAACTCTGGCTTAGAGACTAATAAAGTATATGTGGTGTCTTTTATCAAGGTTCAGGACAAATTTGACTCACATTTGGAAGAATGCATCCACAGAGGACAGTGTGACCCGCCTTGGAAAGTTGATCTAAATGTTTTCTTAATCTGTCTCGATGTAGTCACCCCTGCAGCCACCACTCTCCATTTATCACCCTTATCGCCCAGGACAAATGTTAGCACCAGGCGTGAACAGAACCAACTGCTGTTTGCCAACAGGTTCCATTACTCTAAATTTTCTGGAACTGAAAAATCCAGTCATCACCAGAAGGAAAGGTGTTGATCTGGTTGGATGTGTGAGGGGAAATGCCCTCCCCCTCCTGAACTCGGTAAGAAAAGACTTACATGATAGAGGGAGAGAGAGACACACAGCGGATGAAGATAGACGTGTGAGAGATAAACACAGTTCATGAAAGAGAGAACATTTTACATTTTTCCCCCTTAGGAATATTCTGTCAAATATGTAAACGTATTCAAGACATTTTCAAGTATTTCTTCACCAGCTGTTGCATTTGTTTGTTTTAATGGTCATTACATAGATTACACCAATCAACTGCTGTACAGACTAATTGCTGTTATTAAAAGAAAGTAGGGGGGAGTAATGAAAGAAAAAATAATTACGTCTCTCCAACGCCCATGGCCAAGGCCCTAGAGGAAACACGGCTATGAAAATGCATACAGATGATTTATTATACTCCCATCTGGTGTTATGATGGTTAAGGTCATCCAACAACAATCCAAATAATGTGCACACTTTCTTATTGCAGTTTCTCTTATTGCACCACAGTTTCTCATTATTATCGCTGGATAGTGTCCACCTCTCAAGGCTGGATCTCTAAAGTGTCTTTGGTATAGCATAAAGTTAATTAGGGTCGGATTTTCTGCAGAAGAAAGACAATGCAGTGGTTTCCATGAAATGCACATGGAGGAGTTATGGATCCTTCCAGCTTATTGTTTGTGATAATTTTTTTTCCTATGTATGTTCGTACCTGTTTGAGTCTTTTCCTCTTGTCTTTTGCAGGGAGCTCTTGGTCTGCGATCAGACCTTCCAGCAGCTGCTGCAGGGGGATCTGTGTTCCTATAACTTTCTGCTCCTCACAGTCTACTCTCTTGATCTGTTTGCAGAAAGCCGGCGATGCACTGAAATCTGTATCCGAGCCTGCATATTTGATCTGACGGAAGAAGGAAAAGAAAATGTCCCATGAAATTCTCTGGTAGTTTTGAATTGGAAGGTCAGAAGTATAGCTGAGGGTGTGGTTATGCTCGACAGGACAGCCGAAATATAACGAGGGTCTACATCTCATCTATTGGTTAAGCTTTTGTTTTTTTTTAAAAAGTGCACATTCATATTTTACATGGCATGTCACCAAGACAGAGGATTTAATTCTCAAGACGCATTCAATTCAGTAATATTTTATGAATCCTAAAGGGAAATTAAATGATGGATGCAACTCATGTAATTTTTCTGAGTTGCTGTTGGCATAAAGAACCGCTGTAGCAGTCTTTGTTACATTGATTCTAGAGATGCCTCTGACTGCAGACAGTCTCAGGAAGAGGATGCTCAGGGTTGCTGGTTATCTCACGTTTAAAAACAACTGTAATGTAAAACAGAAAACACAGCGTTCTGGTGAGAGAGTCAGTATGATACCAAGGGAAATTCTGAAAAAGTATACCACTACTGGTAATGTTTTTTTTTTTTGCTTAAAATGTCATTTATACCCGATGATAACTAATGTCTAGTTCATATGACAGTATGTTAGAAATGTTGGCTGATTTTAAATACGTGACAGACCCCACACACACAACTACCAAATATCGTTGATAAAACAGGGTTGGCCCAGTAGTGTGTGTTGTCCACAGCAAAGACAACACAACTCACCATTCACAAACAGATTTCACTCATGAACATTCAGATGTCAAACTGGAAATCTGGCAAACCCTCGGGATCAAACGTAAGTTCAGAGCAAACAAATATGGCCGACGAGGAAGAAGCAGTGATGATAATTTGCAGACTACCTTCAACAGAGAAAATTAACAAAACGTAAAGACGTCTCCGATGTTCAAATCCAAGATTTGAGATAGAGATGTTCCGAGATCCTTCCAAGCAAATCAGATCACTCCAGCCACACGCCGCAGGAATACCTCATAAAATTTGATTTATCACAATAATCAGCGTTAGATTAGAAAAATGCTATTAATAACCATCCATCAACAGTATTAACACTGCAGCAAAAACATAGCCATGAGTTCATTTTTGTTCTCACTCAATATACTGACCCTATTATGAGTCTGTAATAAACCTGAAGACGAGCCATCCTCTGAAGACCTCTGCACTGCGTAGCAGCTACTGGACCATAAATAATTACTGATGCTCCCGTGTGCAATTAGGTTTAAAATGTTCTTGAGCTCCCTGACAAACAGCAGGATGGTGTTCAGAGGCTCCCTGTCTCGTTTAATTAGCTCTACAAGCTGCCTTCAGGGCCTTAACGTTTAGTTTTACCTACTGAATCAAGCGAAGAGTTATCTACACTTGTGTAAATAACTACCAGCAAAAAAAAAAAAAAAGAATCTCATACACAACACTCCATCCAGAGTGCGGTTTCAAAGCCCGCATGGTTGACTTTTACCATTAACAGATAATAGTCAACCATGACTGAATACAAATTGTCAGTGCTCTGCCTTCTTGATCCCTTGTGCTCTTGGAATAATATTAATGTGCAGAGGAATTGAACAAAACTCTACCACACTTTCTGACAATGAAGCTGTTAGGGAGCATACATTAAAGTATGGTGTTCTGTGTTTACATACTGCACAAAGCAAAAACCCTTCAAGCATCATGCAGTTTTTCATGCCACATATATTTAAGAGTTGCTTCATAATTACAACAACTTCCTCATAGATGTAACTTTACCACTACCTGCTCCAACCCTGATTCTCATTACTAAACATTTTGAAAAATGAACATACAGCACAGATGTTTCTAAACGGATCAGAAAAATTTAAAAAAAATAACAGATGGCTTTGAATTATTTGGAGTACATTTTGAGGAAAACAGTAGGGCCTCTTTTTCTGTAATAATATGCGACATCACGGTTGAATGTTTTATTAGATTGCATCAGCAGAACTACTATGAATTTAATCAATTTTATACCACTTTACACCTGTAGGACACAATCTCAGATTCTTGCTGGATAATGCTGCCAGGTTGTGCTGCTGTAATGAGGCGGTCATGTTATTTGAAATATCAATTATCTGTGTGATTTGGTGTTGATGAGACACATTATGACACAGAATCATGTGTTGTTAGTAAAATAAGGTAATTCTGTGGTGAAATTCATTTTTCCTTTTAATTTCTGCTCGACTTTGTCAGAGCCAAGACATTGTTTTCCTTCTTAGCTCTGATTCGTAACTCAATAACTGAATGAATCTAATCTAAACACCAACATGTTTTGGACTAAGTTTGTGTATTCTGGTATGTAAATTGTAATAGAATTAATTGGAAGTAAAACCTAAGTCAGCTCAGTCACAGATATTTAAAGGAAGAAAAACAAAAGCAGAACCTAGTGAGTTGAAGTTGGCTCATAACTTCTGTTTCGTGTTTGCGTTCTGTTTAAACATGACTGACCTGAGCTCTTTTCAAGTGTGACAGATGCTCCTCAACCTGGCAACGCAGCTTGGCATTCACTTGGGAGATCGCGCCGTGGTGCTCCATCATGAAGGTCACCAGTTTGGTAGCGAGCAACTCGTCCAAGTCCATGTCATCGGGGGAGCCCAGGACGCAGTGAGAGAACATCTGCACCATCTGCACACGGATCACAGAGGAACAGGAAATGGGCACCGACTTCATTATCAACACAATTACCGTAGCATAAGGACCAACGAAATAAATGACCAATCTTGTGCAGCTAATACTAAAGATATTTTGTATGTGTGCAGTGTTTCAGGTGATGCTTACAGTCTATCCCCAAGATGAACAAGTTTCCTAATTAACAGCAAGATTGGATTTTTAATACATGATGTAACTGTATAAGTCCTGATATTATATCAGCAGGATAGAATACTGCCTGGAGCATGTTGATGGCTGAAATAGGTAAGTGTTTTCTCTGCAACTTGCTAAGCAAAACTTGACCTGATATTAGTGGGGTTGTGTATGTAATCAAGCTTGTATGTATAATTTTGACCTAGGTTTAGACAATATATCAATAACAATTTATATCAAAATAGACATGTGATTAATATCAATAGATAAAACATCTGATAGAAATTTCAATATATGGAATATTCACTGGACTGCAATTCAGAAACATACAGCATTATGGGACTTGTAGGCAGAGGAACGGCTTTAGTTGCTCAATCTCTCTGAGAAAGGTCGGTGGTGGCAACAACTAACTCGCTCTTTGGTTACCTAGCAACAACCTCTTGCGTAACTTGCGCAGCAGCAGTTCCAGGTTTTGCCGCTGCGCCTCATAACTGCTTAAAAGTAAAAAAAAACAGCATGGAGTGAAAACTGTGGATAAAACAAAATATGTAACGAAACCAGTTTGGCAGTATTTCAAACAAAAAAAAATAATCCAAATCATATTATTAATAATTATCAATTGACTGATATGAAATGCATATACCGTGACAAGTTTTTCAGCCACGTCCAGCCTTGTTTTGACCCCATGAGAATTAGAGACCAGAAATTCAAACTTATGCTCCCAGTTGTTGTTAACCCTGACTGTAGATGTATGCTGCATTATCAGTCAACAGTGAAAAAAGGAACAGATCAAACAAATTACTAAAATTATAACAACCTCGTCAGTTGCGACAGAAGGCAAACTCTACTTATTGCTGCAAGCTTTTCATAAATATCACCACACATGTTCTGCAATTGTCAGAGTGCTCTTATGTAGAACATGCCACGAGCTCAGTAAAACAGAAAGCCTGTACGGCTGAACACAGAGATTAAACTGAGGGAAGTCGTACCAGCGTGCGGGTAGCAATAGTGTCGTTAAGAGGAGGCAGGCGGGGATTGTGGCAGACGCGAGCCATGAGGCGCAGTAAAAGCTGGAGCCGTCTGCGGTTTGGCGGTGGCAGCAGCAGGCAGCTGACTTGAAGGGCCTCGATGGCTTTATCCTGCTCCTGTAGCAGGCCTGCAAACACGGAGAGAGACGAGTTCTGCTCTCTGAGGGGGCAAAGACTGCATAAGGTATGGAAAGTCAATGTGAATAACTCACTGAGGATGTTGACAAAGACCTCGTAAAGATGGAAGGTCAGCAAAGGCTCTTTTAGTTTCTGATAATAATCTGCTACGGTCCTCAGAACATCTCTCTCGAACCCTGGGTACAGCGGCTGTTTGGCGTCGTTGCCTTCAGGCCCTGGGCGGAAAAAGTCAAAGAAAGGTTAGCAACACTTTATTTGAAAGGCTGAGCATAAGACTGACATGACACTGTCATAAACCTGGCATAACACCTGTCATGGATATGAAGGAGTACTTTTCGAATGTTGTCATGAATTGTTGCATTACAAGTATCACCTTTGCACCAAAAGATACTTACAGTTTGCAAGGCATTTCATTGCTGAGACCACCCAATACGGCATGTCCTCTGGAAATGCAAAAATATGGTTCTTTAATAACCATAACAATAAATAAAACAGTACATTTTTAATCAAATGAAAAAGGAATCGTCCAGCATCATACCAGCTTTGTTTTCCAGTACAACTATGCCTGTTTTATTAACATTGAAGATATTGACAACAATGTCTTTCCCATTCACATGTGCTGGGTTTAAAATTCCATCCAACGACTTCAGGCCCAGAACTCTCTGCAAACTAAAGGAACAACACTCTAAAGTTAGTATGAAAAAACGAGACAAATAACTAAAAAAAAACAAACAAACAAAAAAACAGGAATGATGCAAGTCATGTGAAATGAAAACACACTGTGTGATAGTCATCGATTTCCAGATGTGGTCCACTTGTTTGGAAGTCACTTCCCTCCTACGTATGAGCTTGCATTCATGCACATCTCCAATGGCAACGCTGTGTCTTTTATTCCATAAGTCTGAAGTCTTGTTGAAATGGATCCGTAAAATAGGGAAAAGAAGATTAACGCCAAGCGAGACAGCAATCCAGTGAAACAATACGATGACTAAATATTTACATGACAGAGAGAACAGTAATGAATGTATTCTTTGACGGCAATCCATTAAAATAAAAGTGTCTCAATCCATATCTAGGGGTGACAAAATAACCGAAATGAGAATAATTATTTATTGGGTTTTTTTTCTGTATGTACAGGAAATAAAAAGTCGATAAATCTCCATATATCTGGATGAAGCCACAGAAAGGAGCGAAACGTCCGTGGCCTTTTCTCACCAGTTCTGCAGATTTCTGAGGTGCAACATTTTCTTTCTGAGGCAGTTCCTCGTAGTCATCCCAGCGGATGAGCCTGGGCAGGTCGCTGCCGTCTCTCCATGACGGTCTTGTTGGAAGAGACTTGAGCGGAGACATTGTGGGGAACCTGAAAGAGAAAGATGACAGCACCTAAGACGGGACGAAACTAAAAAAACAAACAAAAAAAAAAACAACGCTGTGAAGTTTGATTTCGGAGACAAGACACGGGGAAGAGCAAAACAATATTTGTATCTAATTAAAATAAGATTGACATCAAATCACAAATGTATTATTGAGATGCACCTGCACATACAACATTATTGAGTAAGTACAAATCTTTTGTCTACCAAGTGAAATTACCTGCATTTTTAAAATCCCATGCCTTCGTTACCTGTACAGATGGCTGTTGTCTTCAAAGTCCTCTGTCCCGTGGCGTCCTTTGACGTCTTCAATCACGTGGGCTTTAAAGAACTTCCTGAGCAGCTGCAGAGTCTGGTAACGTGTTACCTCGGGCCCAAAGTTGTAGTTGCTTCGGAGCAGCTCATGAAGGTAATCCACTGCCTCTGAACCGGTGAAAGTGCAGTCGTAGCAGCGAAAGTTCGCCCAGTGCCTCCGTAACGGCATACCTCCACGAAAAAGCTTAATGGTTTCATTCCACTGCATTAGGGAAACACAGAAGGTGTTAAAAACAAAAAGAAACGTTTAAAGGAAATCTGCTAAGATGTTTGACATCTAATAAACACTCAGTAGATGCTCTAACATCAAATACTTTGCCACAAGAAATTCTTTCATAACAAGAAATGAGATTCGGTAGTTTCAGGAAGGCTTTGAATGTTCAATCAGCAAATATTAATCATTTTGCATTGGAAAAGTAGCTGACGGTTGCTATAGTTTCAATCATTATAGACGGCACCTCAGACATACATTACAAGATAGTCAGAAATATTCTGTCAACTTCAAATGAATACAGCCATTTTAAACCTCTCTAGCTATTCAAATAAGTCCTTTACAGGACATGAAGATCAGCTATATAATCACAACATTTGCATATTTGAGTGTTGTAGTCGGTCAGCTCCTGATAGAGTTAATTGAATGGATGGGAGAAAAGAATAAAGTCAATCAGATTCGGAGCAGACAGACGAGGTTGCATAAGCGTCAATAAGGCTCAACAAGTGCTAAATGGTATATAGTTATACAAAAAATAAAAAATAAATAAAAAAAATTCTTAACACTGGCCTTGAGACGATTGGGGAAAATGACCAGAATCGCTGGAAAAATAGCAATAAAAATAAGTATCTGCTGTACAGAAGGGAAAACTCAATGAGAGCTCTCCTTTTTAAAAAGATAGAGAATCTCAGAACAGATTCTATAGCGATTGAAATAAATAGTCCCTTTGAAATAATAGCAAAAGAACACAATAATTTTTTCCAGATTCTGCTTCACTGTCTTTCTATGGTGTTTACTGGGGCCGCAGCGCCAACGCCAAGGACTTTTCAATAGACCTGCACAGCTAATATTATTACTTGAGTGTTTCCCTACTACAAGCATCTGCTGCGTGGGAAGATTTTCCATTGCATGGGATGGGCAAATTGAATTACAATATATTTTTATCTTGGTGTGTTCCTCAGTCTTTAATATAGAACGACACAGTATAATTACAATTAAAATCAATCCTCATGCTCAGCTCTAGTCAGATGTTGATAAAACCAGCATGGGGCATACATGGTTTTAATAAGGTTGTTTTCCAGGGTTGAGTGAGTAAGAACATACAATTTAAGATGTTTTTAAAACGTGAACCAGCTATTTACTCTGTATTTAAAGTGAATTCCTGTGATTTTTTTTTTATATTGTCAAATCTGTCTGAATAAAGCTAATTTAAAACCTCTAATCCACTGAGGTTATACAAGCAGCATAAATATGAATTCATGCTCTGTTGCATTAATATTTCCAGTGATACTTTTACTTTAATGTAGCAGAAATGTTACACTAGGAAAGGTTACACAAAGATATTTTGGTAAATTTTAAGATGCTGTATATTAATACTATGGCCATACAGCAAACCTTTCAATAAAACCATCTCAGAATGAAAGTAAGAATCTCTCTATATATATTTTTTTGTTTGAGATACACCACTCTGCCTGGACTGCATGCTTGCACAATGACCTACCATTTCTGAAAAAGTGGCCATACATCTATCCAGATCAAATTCTTGTATGTTGTATTATTTAGTCCATCTTGGGAAAAACCCAAACGACAAATGAATAATTGACACCCAAATTTATTGTGATGTTAATAGCTTTATGTAACCTTTTGACAAAAAACACTGTTTGTTATCAGCAGTTACTCAAGTGCAAATGGAGCAAAGTTCCAAGTCACAGGATGAGTACATTGTGTTTCATGGTTCTCTTTCAGAAGCGATATTGATTGTTTTAGTGTCAGTAAATTGAATTTTAATGTAATCTAGTCGTTTAGTTAGAAGTCAGGCTTGTAGAGTGGCCATATTATAAAGAGATGCTAATTAAACGAGCATTATACACCATTGACAATCACAAGGAAAACATACACTTTTCCACTTCACTCACGTTACCCAAACGAGCAAGAAACTCACCAGCTTCGTGGCCCGGTATGGCCCGGCTCCGATAACTTGGCCTTCCATGCCCTTATAGCCACACGAGCGAAAACATGAAGCTATAAAGTATTAAAAATGATCCCAAAACGGCAATAAAAAAAAATAGTGAGCCAGGGCAACATAGACGGAGGCGTTGCTGCCAACTTTGAATCTGGTGCGTCACTCGGATTAGGCAACGTGACTGGACGGCGAACTAGTCACGTGACCTGCACAGTAACGCTCGAAGGGGCGATGATTTACGAGACAGACTACTGGATTAACACGAGAAATGATTTTTAAAAACAGGCTTCTCACTCAGTTTTAGGCTTTAACATGTAAAATTGTCTGAATTTAACGAAGTTCTGAATGTGTGCGCGTTTGTGAGCGCAGCTGTGCACGTGGAATCCCTTTGAGTGGGTAGAACAGCAATACATAAATTTAAAAGTCAATTTATTACAGATTACTGCAGATGATTTCTGATTGGTTAGAACTTGAAAACACTAAAATACACCCAGGACCATTGCTGTTAATGCCTCAGTTTCTGTCAATTAAAAAGTACTTATAAATATTTATGAATGCATTATATATGCACTCATATGTTTATGAGTGAACTGACCACAATCAAAGCACAAATTGTACCTAGACATTTTAAATTATCCTATAGTTATGCAATGACGGCAAGCTGCTGGTATAGCCTTTTCATTCAAATGAACTTTTCTGGCAAAAATTACATGCACAAACAAGGAATTTGACTTTGGTTTCAAGTGCTCACACTGTGCACACATTAAGCATAGTCAAAGCAATGCTTCAAAATAACAATGATTGCAGGTATCGTCAGGAGGGGAAAACTGTATGTGTCTGCAGAGGTGACCTTCAAATCAGAAGTGGACCCCTGTGGCAAATAATCTAAAGTGGTTCAAAGCTTCTCGAAAGATGTGCCATCCCTTGAAACTGTTTTAAATGAGAAACCCTTTGGACAGCTGGAGAGATGTGTTCTCTACAGGTTCTTTAATAGCATACTAACTACAGCATAAGTAGATTGGTTTCTTTACTCTGTGCAATAATAAACAATCTTTCACATCCAGGTTATATCATCAGCAATATGGTGAATGACTGAACTGGACCGCTACATCAACACTCTGAAATGTTTGATCTCAGATGTTGTTTAACTCTGTCCTCAAACATGAGCTAAGACTTGTAGAGAAGTTATCAGTTTATCACAGTTATCAAACATTTCAACATGTCCAAAAAAATATTTGGCATCCTGGCTTATGTGGTGAACAAAATCGTGTATGCTACAGTGTTAGATGTGCCGTAAGGTGATGTCAGTTCCTATGATGTCATAAAGCAATTAAATCAAAAAGCTGATACATAATAATTAGACAGGGGTGTGCATAAGGCTGACATGACACTGTCATAAACATGACACAACACCTGTTATAAAGATGAGGGATTCTTCGGATTCTTCATAAAGTTGTCATGAAGTGTCATTCGGTAAAAAATAAAAACTTTTAATGCTAAGTTCCAAAAAGACTCACATTAAATGATTTTACCTGCTTGCTGCCAAATTATATCAATCAGTCCCTCAAGTTTCCTGAGAATTAACGTGGAAATTCACGCAAAATCAACACATTGTGCCACTAACTGGGAGTTTATTGCAGATTTCTCCTCAAAAATTGTCAAAAACTTTCTTACTTGTACTAAACAGCTGCCTCCGCTTTAGCTGATGTCAGATTATACTCCATGATCTATACAGCGAGTAATAAAAAATTGTACTAACCGTCGTAAATAAGCGCAAATATTTCCAAATTAGTATCACAAACACTTTGCACAAAAAAAAATCACAAGAAGAAGCACAAAATCCTAGAGGGACTGAAAAGATGTTCAATAATATAATCTAATTTTATCAGTTTGTGAATAGCTTTTATCGATACATTCTGGTTCTACCGGCCCTTTAAGAGCATTCATGATCTTGATTTGGCCCAGAACGAAAATGAGTTTGACACCCCTGCTCTAGATCTTTGTAGCATTAGAAGGGGAACATCACAGCCTGCTTGTTGTCCTCATTAAATAGGATCAATCTTTTAGAGTGATCCAACATAACAGCCTGACTGCACTGGCAGCAGCATGTTGTACATTCTAACCGTGTCATCTGACAATTATACCTTCTAACATTGCTATTGCTTGACATGGCAGCTCCCATGTTGCTCTGAATGGTCAAAGGATACAATTGGCAGAGGCAAAGTTAAGACATTGATAGACTTACTAACAAGTCAGGATGCTGAGACAGCAATCTGTGGCATCGGCTGTGGCTGGCTGCCTCATATGTTTATGTAAAGGTCAGAAGAAGTAATTGGATTTCCTGAGCAAGTCCAATGACACATCCTAACAAAATGCTTCTTATGTGAGGTTTTTCATCCCGGTGTATAAAGTTTATCAAACACAACCTCAACATTAGCACTAGCACGCCTGGGAAATCTGATACAGCTTCACTAAAAAAAAAACATGTTAAAAGCTTGAGATTACACACATATGGACTCTTTTTACTAGACAGATGGCTTCTAATGGATATTGACTGCCCTGGGTTTTATTTGAGGGCATCAGAGTGAAATGATTGCAACACAGGTCTGTACATTTGGGTTTTTGAGTTAGAGTTTCTCTACCTTAAAGGAGCAACATTTTGTGTTTTCCATCCACATAGAATTATTTCATCGCACAGTCAGGTAACAATCCTACCCACTGTTACAAAGATGCTCTATATAACAAATATCACTTAAAAGATGTTTGACTTTGTAATTTAATTTCTCCAAATTGGACTTATGTCTTTCTGAAACTCCTCCTTCAGGAAGTCATCAGAACATCACACTGTTTCTACCAGCCTTGAACTGAGAAGTAGCTTCTACAATAAGCTCAGCAGATGCGTAGTTCAAGGCTTTTGCTAACTGCTGCTGACTAGTCTGAAGGAGCTGAGGAAGGGAGTCATGGGGCATATGGTCCCTTTAACTTTGTTATATGCTGGGAAACATTTTAGATCAGACTTTCCTCTTAATATAACCAGACAAACCAGTTCTTCTTTTTTTTATTATTTATCTGGTACTTCAGTTTTACAGTTCTCGCTGTACACTGGTTGATATTATCTTAGGCTCATTAGAGGGTGGTAAAAAAAATAAATAAATCCTCGCAGACATCAAATAATCTTCGGCCAGTTTTGAGACAGTGGGTGGTTTGTAAACCAATTTTCCTCTCTAAATTTAATTTAGTGGTTCTGAGTTGAGGCTTTGTCAGTGTTTTATCGGTGCTGCTTGGAGACAGGTGGCGTTTTTTTTTTTTTCTTTTCTTTTCTTTTAAGACATCTCTTGTTGAGTTATATTTCCATTACTCTTTATACTAGTGTTCCAGAGTGACCCCATCGTTTTCATCCACGCGTAATTAAGATTAACACCTCATTAGCCCTCTAATATGTCAGAGATGATTTCATGGAACACGCTCATCTGTTTTCTCTCTGATAATTAGACGCAAAGACCAACACAGTATTTTAAATGTCAAGATGTAGCCAGCCGCAGGAAGTTCCGCTAATAAGCAAAGAGTAAGGAGGAGAAGAAGAGTCTGGTTGTTTCAGAAGATAACAGTGATTGGGTTGGTACTCCTATCCATGTAGTTGTGCTGTAGCCATAGTTTCTACCACTTCACCACGATAAACAGCGGCTTGACGAAAGACTGACATTAAGCCTTAACGCTAGCTTATGTGATTGATAATTTCCATCATTTTCAATAAGATAGTTGAGTGGATCAAGTCGAGATCAGGAAAATTAGAGATTTTGAATCACGCTGCGTGTGTTTTTTAATAGTTTGAAAATAAAATGCGCAACAGAATAAGGAGTAATGGCCTTAAAACGGCCTTTTTTGATACGAAGGCAAATGAAAGTTAGCTACTAGTTTGGCTAGCTTTCCTTGTATTTTTAAGGTCATGATACTGTGAAATTCCAAAGGTTACAACAACAGTGATGATTTAATTATTATTATGAATAGTCTTATTCTGCTTCATAATTATGCACTATTTTGTGTTAGCTTATAGCATAAATTGTCTGTAGACATCAAAACTGTGGTTGTAGTGTGACAAAATGTCAAAAGTTTCAGGAGAAATCATGAGATTTTCAAATTTGCAGCTGGGTTTTCGAATATTTTCCAGTATTTTCTTTGCAAATGCAAACTCATTGCTTCAGGACGCAGCTCGTAGTGTGATTTAATATTCAGTTTTACTCTCAGCAAAAACTTTGGTCGCATTCTCAGGAAAGACAGTCACTCTGGGAAAGTGTCATTGTCCTTCCAGAATCTCTGTAGTTGCAGTGGAAGAGGGAACAAAAACTAAGGCCAAGCAAAATCAACTGTAGTATTTCATTGCTTGTTATTCCTGTAATGTGATACTTTAAACAACCTCACAAAATATTTTTTTTTCTGAGATATTTTTTGCTGTTTGTTTTTTGCACTGATTAAACTCATTGCTTAGTTTGTTTATGTTTTTTTTTTTTTTGGCAGGAAATGTCAGTTATGCAGAGCTTCTTATTTTTAACAAATGTATCATTTACCATCTGGTATGGCACAGCAGACTCAGCAGAAGCTCAATAAAAAGACAAATCCAATCAGCCTTTTGAATCAACATCCTCTGTGAATCTTTTCTTTTTTCTTTTTTTTTTAAATAAGACACAACAGAAGCAACAGAAATAAACAAGTGTGTCATTTAGGTTAAAAAAAACACACAAAAAAACAAAAAAAAAAAACATGGAAATTCTCAGATTATTTTCGTATTGCATGTGTCAGCAGAAAGCCCCATTAGGGCTGCGACATCCGACTTCTGAGTGTTTCTGTTGACATTTTAATAAGATTTATAAGTTGGGAGTTTGGAATCCGGGTCAATGCCTTGGCCTCTTATTTATATTTCTGTTCCCAAAGGTTCTTGCTATTGGACAGTCAGATTGTGCAACGTCCTGCTGGAGGAAGTTAGAATAGAAATATCTTTTCATGTCCCCCAGTGGGGGCGGGGGTGTAAGTCATTTTACCATGTGAATACAGTGATGGTACATATCACAGTAACTTAGAATTCATGAGAGATTGTGACACATTGCTACAAGTGGTTAGACCTCGGGTAGCTTAAAAAGGTATT